TTTTTCGATATTTTCAAATGTTACCATTTTTTAAAAATTTTTTTTAATTTTAACCAGTATAATGGACATTCATTATATCATGTGGTGATAAAATCAAATATCGATCTTTTTATATCATGTAATATTCAATTTTAATTGATTTAAGTAATAAAAAAATATCAATAATATTTCAAATGTTAAAATTATACATATTACAATATATTTTATTTAATAACTTATAATTTATTAAGTTTAAAATATTTTTAAAGTCTACCAATAATTTTTCTATTATTGCTACTTCTTTATTATCTAATATTTCATTTTTTTATAATCTTTTTATATAGGATTTTCATTAAAAATAACACCTTTTTTATAGAATTTTTTACAATTATTATTTTATTCTGAAAAACATTTATGATGAAAAGTATGATCATATACAAATAATATATCTTCTTCTTAATTTAAACATTTACATTAATCACAAATATTATTAAATAGTGGTTTAAATATATGATATCTAGTGTATTTATAATTTTACTTTTTAATTTAATATTATAAGTTTCTTTAATTTTCTACTTTTTTTCTAATTTTTATGATTATTACAAAAAAATATAGATATATTTAATATTTTTATATTTTTGATTTAATGTTAATTCAAGAATTTTTATATAAAAAATTTATAAAAAAATGGCTGAAAAATATTTTTTAATAGTCTAAAACTAATCTTTCTATTTTGATAATTTTTATGATGATCAATTTTGTACCAATCAAAATTAATAATTATGTGATATTTCAAAAATAATCATCATAAAACTCAACCAATAAAATCGCAGATAAGTTAAATATCTATTATGCTATTTTGACCAATAATAAATTTAATAAATTAATGGATACATGACTTTTAAAATTTTAAATGTCTAAAAAAGAGGTCATCTAAAATAGGAGTAAATCACATAATATGATCACGATTGACCAAAAGTATTATATGATTTTTTATTAGAATACAAAATGATAATTGGTTAAAAAATGTGTTCTGGCAAAGTAAAATTTCTTAAAAATATCAATAAATCATTAATAAAAAATTAAAAAATTTTAAAAGAATATTAAATAATTAATTAAAATAAAAAATCCACCTATATTTATTGTTTTTATTGTTTTATTTGAATTTAAAATGTAATTTTTTTTTTATATTTACATAATAAAAAATTCGTAAAATTTCTAAAAAAAAAAATAAAGTTTTATTTACAAAAAATCATAAAGCTTTTATTTACTTAAAAAAAATTGTAAAGCTATTATTTACATAAAAAAAATTCATAAAGTTTTTTTACATAAAAAAAATCATAAAATTTTTTTTACATAAAAAAATTTGTAATAATCTTAAGAAATCAAGCCTACACAATAATCAGAGCCTAATACAACCTTGTTTATTTATTAGTATCAAAATACTAATAAATAATTCTAAGTTTTTCGGCTTAAATTATTATTAAAATGTGAAATAATCAGATTCACAGAGACTTCTAATATAGAAATGAAAGATTGCGTCTTTTTGATATCACTTATCTCTTCAATATATTAATACTTATCATGCATTTTTCAGTTAATTCATCTATAGCAATTCTTCGATTCTCAGCATTTTTCTATTACTCTGTCTAAATATATTCTATAAATGATTCTCAACTTTCATATACTTAAAATCTGCTTTCTTCAAATATTTTGCGAAATATTTGCTATATATTGGCAGTCAACAATTTATTATCATACATGTATTCGTAAAAAATATGCTTGAAAGCAATAAATATTAATGGTGAAACAAGCAGTAACAATTAAGAAAAATAAGACTTTATGTACTTTTTTCTTTTTAGGTCTATTCATCTCAGCACAGCCTTCTCTAATGATTAATTGTTAAAATAGGAATAGGAATTTTTAGATTTCTTCAAGAATATTATTATTAATATTATATAAAGATATTTTTTTGATACGAAAATCAAAGGATACACTTTTAGCTTTAGATCTTTTTTTGCAATTAATATTAACAATTTTGTGAGCAACACTTAAAATATGATCAGTTTAACTTGTCTTAATCTTATATCTAAAAAAAGAGAAATATTAAAAGAAATGAAGGAAAAAATAAAATAATTCAAAACAAAAAAGGATTTAAAAAGATAAATATTAATATAATTACATTAGATTAATAAAAGGTCTATGAGTCAGACATGCGAGTAAAATAGCTAAATAAAAATCATCACATACAGATCAAATCATGTGATAAAGATATTATTTTTTTTAATTCACTATGAAAAGATTCTAGCAAATTCGTTAAAGTGATTTGTAAAAGTAAGAAGAATGTTACTAAGCTCATAAGTCCCATTTCTTGGTATTTTTCATATAATTTTTTTAATATAACTTTGTATAAAGAAATAGAACAAAAATTAATAGCATCTTGAATAAGACTTTCATATCTAATCTTTATTTTTTATACATTATTATGATCATGATATCTCAGGCTTTTTTATAAATTTTTTGCATTCATATTCTTTTAATATGAACAACACAAAGGAGAATTTGATACTCTTGTTCACCAGTGATCATGCTGGAAAATGTTTTTTTAATGCTCTTAGTTTCGATAATACTATGATCTAAAAGTATATAATAGGGACTAACAATAATACTTATTGCAGATTATTATTAAAGCTTTTGCAACTGTATCTGCATTCTTATTGCTTATGAAAAAATGGGCGTCTATATTCTAACATCCATAAGCAGTATTGTTATAGGACATTGATAGGATACTGATGAGATATAGATGGGACAGATAGGATATTTGGGATATAGTGTAAGACAGGTTAGGATATATAGCTAGGATAACAAATCTTTAGAACATTAAAAATATACATCACTATCCATAAGTATTACAGACGTAAAAGTAAATAGACACTAATTGTACTGATTTGTTTTATGTGTTGAATCTATAAGCATTAACTATCTATGATGCTCAAGTTTCTTTAGTTGCTTTAGATGTGCAAATACAATACCTATGGTAAACCATTTAGAAATGTAATACTTTTTGACATAATATTCTTGCTCTGTTAAATAAGAAATAGACTTTGGAATATCTAATTTTAAATTCAAATTTTCAATAAGATAAGTTTCTGCAAGCTCATGAACTTTATATTTGATGTTTGCTACTTCTTTGCGTTTTAGTTTACGTGTAGGTTCACCAAGACTTAACTCTAATGTTATATATTTCTTGATGGCAGATGTGATTGTTGGAGGCAAAAAATTTTTAGTTACTTCTATTTTAACTAAACATCTAATAGCTTTTGACTATTTTAACCTATCGATTTTTGATAAAGAATGAGTATGGTTGGAGGAATTTTTATATCTTTCTACTTAAATTATATTTGAAGAAGTTATTCAAAAACTTTAATCATCTGCCAGATGGTCATATTCTAATTATTCAGCCTTTTTTATTTGAGACATTTTCTTTTTGTCAGTTACTTGATTCGTGGTACTTCATAAAATGACAGGCAAAGATTTTTTGAATATTACTGTTTATATATTTATACGGTCCTATTTTGTCTAAATATTCGAAATTAACGATTACTACTCTTTATTAAAAACCTTTATTGGAATTTCTAAAATGTAGTTTACATCAAAAAAAAGATCCTGTTTTTTGTCTGATGTAAGATTTGATGCTAATGTTATTAGAGAAGAAGAAGCTAGAACAGACATGTTTTTTTGAAAAAAAAAATAAATGCATGATATTTGATAACACAAACTAAACCAATTATTATTTGACACTCCCGACTAATCCCGAAATTGTATCACGTGATTTGTCCCGCTTTAGAAACTTACCTAGCGTCACCTAGAAAAAATGGTAGCCAGATTTTATTTGCCGGGTATTTATTATTAGGGTTAGTATTAGAGTTAGGGTTTGGATTAGGATTAGGATTAGGGTAGAATTAGGATTAGTTTAAGGGGGTTAGCAAATTTGTCACATCGCGTCACATCCCAGCCGTTCTTCAATTTACTAAGTATTCTGGGGACAGAAATAAAAATGCTAATTGTCACAATTATATGTCACCCCTAATAAGTATATGTGACCCGGCAAATAAAATCCGGCTACCATTTTTTCTAGGCTGTTCCGCTTTAGACGACCTCCTAAAAAATACAAACACGTGAAAACTAAAAGGATATCACTTTCGTAACCAAAGAGAATGAGAAGTATGACCGATTATTCAAATACATAGAGATTGATCTAATTGATAATTACTTTTATTGAAATTATTAATCAAAGTAATACAACACATTTGGAAATGAATTAGAAAATCAAAGAATTATAACGGTTCGAGAGGATGGAGATTACAAAGATAAAAATAAGAATAAGAATTCGCGAAAGCAATAAAATTTTAATTTATATTATATTTATATTATATTATTATTATTATATACCATTAATATTTATAATTTTTTAGAATATCGTTAACAATGGCGCGAAAAGTATTGCCTTTTTTTATCCAACAAAAGAATTTCGCGAGATGACGGAGAATTACATGGCCGAAAAAATAAATTTTAAATTATTGAATTATAAATATAAGAAAATCTTACCAAATAAAAATAAAATGGTTAGAAATAAATCAGTATATCAGATTATTAAAAGTATGCATCATTTTTTTACATGAAAAAGAAAACGATCTAACAAGAGAAATAATAATAATTCAGTAATAGCATTATATTAACTGTGTTTGAAGTTTGCTTATCTCTACCATTTTTATTGCTTTTATCATCGAAACAAATTTCTAGAAACTGACGAGTTCTGATACTTATGTCCCAACCAATTTTTACTAACCTTTGTTAAATATAATAAAACAACCACCACGATGTTATAATTCTTGAATACTTTTATTAATAATTGAAGAAATACACCTTTGATCAGTTACAATATAATAAATTATCAACTTAAGTTTCTTTTCATTAACTAATGAAGGATCTGTAAAATATAATACATAATTCTCCTTCAATTATGATTCACTAGAAATTACTTTATGGCATCTTTCAACTAATAACAACATGGTTTTCACAAATTCAACCAAATTCAAATTATTTGGCTCTGCACCAAGAATATCGTTTACTGTCCATTTAGCAACCTGACCACTTTTAATCTTAGAGTTCTGTTCAAATGATTGTCTATGTTTTTCGTTATAAATCTATTTTTATTTTTTAAAAAAAAAAAATAAAAATAAAAAAGTAAATAAATATATATAAAAATGTAAAATACCTTATTAATTCAAAATGAATAAAATACTATCAACGTTCTTACCTCAATTGTATAATGCACTTCACCATATCCAGTCTTTCCTAATATTTTATTGGTATTATTTTGTTCGACAAGAGGTATCTTTTCGACACGAGCCAGCTCTGCGACAAAAGGCTCGTGCAATTTGTATTTTGTAATTTGTTTAAAGTTAATAGACTTCACAGTAAGGAAATCCCCAACGTTCTCGAATGTGATCATTTGGTTAGTTGGGCTAACTGATGTCTTCTTGATAAATGTGCTGAATGGTTTAACATCGTGACGAATAGCGCGTCTTGTAGCCAAAATCATGGAGAAATCGGATTTTCTGATGAACACAAGTTAAATAGGGTTAGAATAAATAATAATAATAAATAAGATATATATATATATATATCAATGAAAATTCCTACCGATCTAATATCGTCCAATCTATTTCTACAGGGCTATTCCATGGTAGCATGACTTTTTCTAAAGACACGTAACCCATTTTAACATACATGAAAACCTTAGAATAAGCGCCATGTGGAGTGTTTGTTGCATCTGCTATTACTTCGAAATGCGCAGATTTTTGGGCAGAATTTGGACCAAGAACCCGAGCAAATTTCTCAACAATATTGTCGTCGAATGTTGCACTAAAAGATTTGTTTTTGTTTTTGTTTTTTGTTTTTGTTTTTTTTTTTTTTTTGTAATTATATAATAAATTATCTAAATTATTTCAAAAATTCTTTAGAACTTACATTCTATTGAACATTGGGTTTACACCATATTCTGAACCAATAACGTCTTTCAAATCATTAAATTCCCATAGCTTACGCCTAACTTGTTCAGGAACTTTAGGGAACATCACTTTGCCCAAACTAATGAAAGAATTAATTAAAATTATTAAATTTGAACAATAACACTTGAAATTTTTAATCGAAATTACTCACCATCCATAAAAACGTATCTCGCCTTTATGTACTCGTACATTCTCTAATCTAGATAATGTATAATGTATCAATCAATCAATATATAAATAAATATAAAGATACCGACAATACAAATCATAAATCAATATTAAGTACACTTCTTTCATTGCATTTTTAATAATCGTAAAATTATAATCTCGAATCCTATAAAAGAAATTATTGTTCATTAATGTAACAAATTATGAAATTAACAAATTAGCCGATAAAATACATTTTCCCGGGAGTGGGTCCATCCGGACGATTATTGCTATTAGGGTTTTTTTGATTAAACATCTGCTTGGTCCTAGGTTTAATAGCGGTTACTATTACTTTGTTCTCATTAAATGTATCCGTCCACTGTTCATCAGTATCAAGATCAATCAAGGTTGTTGAAACTTGGTTGGTATGATCATATGATTTTCGAAATTCATTCGGTTTCTTTGGAGTGGAAGGTGCATTACTTCCAGGGTAACTTTCTCTATTATTTCTCTGGGACTGATATCCAAAATCGTCATTACGAGAAGTAGGGGCTGGGAAAGTGGATGTTGATTTTACGTCAGGTGTATGGGAAGGCCATTGCATATCGTTACTAAGCCTCGAAGGTGTAGGGTTACTGGGAGGATAGACTACCTTGGCTTTTCCTTTTACAGCCCTTTCTTCCTCTCTGTGACTTTCCTGCCATTTCATCTGCATACGGTCATATTGAATATCATGTGAATAACTATCCTGTTGCAAATTGGGATCGGAGATTAAGTTTTCTCTAGGTACTATATATTTTTTTGTAACTGGATGTCCTATAGCCGCAACAAGTATGTAATTATCCTTCGCAATAGGTTTAACCGTCTTGCTAAAGTATGAATGATTTTGGAGGGGACAAAAATACAATTTGAATAATACAGATTGATCTGGGTAATGTACAAGTGGAATCCGTTTTGGTTTTGGGGTTGGTTGAAGCTGTGGAATTAAACAAAATACAATAGAAGGTTAATAATGGTTCAACTTTCCGGGCAAACCATTATAATATTATTCTAAAATTCTCATACATAATTTTTTTCTAATTGATCTAATCTCTTTAATGCCTCCTCGATATCACTCCTTTTACCTCCAGTAATTTGTATTTGCTACCAAGAAAAAAAAATTATAAACCAAAAGTAGGTGTTATAAATAAATAAAACAGGTAATTCATTGACAGGATGAAAAGTTAATACCTGCTCACCTTTTCTTCTGGAATTACATCACCTGTAACATTACAATCTCTACAAATGTCTTTCCAATAATCGGTAATTAGGAAGGTTTCTTTACGATTCCATCCCAATACATTGCCAATTTCTTGAACAATGTTAGAGAATCTAAATATGTCTTGTAGTCCTTCGGTTTCTTCATCTTCGCTTATAATCAATGGTCGTACTTCATCATCCGATAAATCAGGAGGTGGACCAACCGGATCACTCAAGATTCTGCGCGTTTTTTTTTTAGGTTTACGAGGTACCACAAGGACCGGCTTTGCGGTGTTGGACTACGTGTATATCAAGTTTACATCAAAATACAAATTTAAATATAATATACTCTTGTTAAAATTTTCATACTTTATTATTAAGCAGTTTGACCAATTCGTCACACCTATTAAATCAATTAATAATATATGAATGAGTAATTCTGTTCAATTCTAAGAACTTAAAGAAATATGACGATACGTCTTACGCTTTGCTCAATTCATCATGTTTAGTACCCTTAATCTCAAACGACTAGTTAAAAAAAAGAGAGATATAATTTTTTTAATTATAAGATGCAAAAAAAAAAAAAATTTAACTACCATTCTTTCGAATGACCAATAAATACAAACATGTTTTTCTATAATGTAATTGATTTTGGTACCGGTTTTACTTTCAATTGTACTGTCAATAATAAAAAGCATCATTACAAATATTCATTCTTAATTTAATTAACAAGCATTTATTATGAATGCAACATACCGACAAAAGGAATTAATTTGTTCATTATCAGTATCGTTCCACTCCCAGATAGTTTGAATGGTATACAGAATTTCTTCATTTGACGCGACATTACAAGTGAATTAAATAAATTTAGGGTGCAAATGAAACACTAACATCTATCGAAGACCATTTCAAAAAGTTTACCTGTCATTGCAATTTCTATTTTTATAGTCACGCAAGAAAAACTCGACGGCAGAAGAGTTTTTTTTGTATATAAAAAAAAAAATCAAAAAAATTTTATTGATTAAGAACCAGTCCATCCATAAAAGGCAAAGATTTACAAAAAAAATTTTTCCCTTATAGGGACAACAATAACAAATAATTTATAACGTTGGGAAATTTTTTTATTCAAATCATCAAAATTCACAACATTAAATTATTTCAAAGATTGTGAGAGAGTTAACAATATTTTTTTTGGAAGAATTAAGTATTTTTGATTTTACATTTTGATTTTAAAAACAGGAAATTACTGTAAATTTTTTGTCAAATAATATATTTTTCTTGCCCATAATTAATAACCTGATCTAGTAACTTGCCAGACACGAATTCTATGATCTAAAATTATAAATAAAATAAAAATATTAATAAATAATGTAAAGTTTAGAATTGATAATTGATTGATTAACAAATTTAATCATTTACCTGTATAACCAGCAAACAAAGTAGTGCCATCCGGTGACCATGCGAGTGAAATACATTCGGGATCTTTTGAATATTTACCCGTTTCCGTGAAATCTGGTTTGAGATCATCAACGACAGTCTTGGTTTCAAGATCCCAAATCTTAATGAATGATGCGGTAGCAGCACACAACCAATAACGGTTTGGACTGAAAACTAATGCGTTGATAATATCTCCAGCTTCCAATGAATACAAATGTTTGCCCTCGTTAAGATCCCATAACATCGTAATTCCATCCTTTCCACCTGAAGCACAAAGTGAACCATCTGGTGAAATGGTTACAGTATTAATGTATCCAGTGTGGCCAATGTGGTTGGTTCGAAGCTTGCATTTAGTAAGTTCCCAAACCTAGAAATTATTACGAAATTATATAAAATTATAAAAATTTTTCCTGGAAGTTGACATTAAAGCGTGTCAAAAAAATTTTTTTTTTTTTTCCAAATAAAAAGGTACAAACCTAATATTTAAAATGAAAAGATGTTAAATACGTTTTTGTAAATAATTAAGAAATTTTTTTTTTTTAAAAAAAAGAGAATTTTTTTTTTGATTAGGCTCAGACAAAGGTTTCGTCTCATTGAAGAATTTTTCTGAAGTAGCAAATATAATAAAATTGACATCATTGCCAAGGGTAAATGGTTTCAAGGATATTTAATAATCACCTTAACAAGCTTATCCCAACCACATGACACAATAACTGGGTTTGATGGATTTGGTGAGAATCTCACACATGAAACCCATTCGGAATGACCGTCGTCTTGAATGTTAAATTTACATTCTCCAAGCGTGTTCCATAATTTGATGGTTTTATCTCTCGAACCCGACACAATTTGACGATTATCAGGCGAAAAAGATACAGAAAGAACATCTTTGTCATGACCCACAAAACGACGAGTTGTCGTCCCATTGTTTAAATCCCAGAGGCGAAGGGTTTTATCCCATGATGCAGATAAAGCGAATTGACCATCGGAAGAAATGACCACATCTTGTACAAAATGATTGTGACCTGTGAGAGCTTTCTTAGGTACCCCATAATTAGTCTCATCCCGAGTTAAACTCCAAACGATTATGGTTTTATCTGTCAATAATGGATCATAATAACATTAATATTATGATTCGCAACTCAAATGAGAACGATAAATAATTGAACCTTCAAAGGATTTGATTTATGTTAAATAAATTAACTTCTCTATAAATCCTCCCATAAATTCCACCGATTTCTCAATTTATTGATCGAGATCATAAATAAGAATAATTCGACATACCACGGGAAGCAGATAAAATCATATCAGGATTTTCCGATGTAGTGGCTATAAAGATTATAATGATTTAATATATTTTTTTTACAAGTGTTTTTTTATTGAGTATACTTCAATAAAAATTAAACGTTGATTATGTCACATTAAACAGCTTACCAATAGCTGTCACCCAGTTTGAGTGGCCTATATGTGGACGAATATTTTTAGATAGTTGAATGAGAAATTTTTAACAAAATAGAACGGTTATAACGCTTACCTTCGAGTGTTCCACGGAGAGAAAGAGTATCAGACATATTATTAATGGTTGGACTTGGAGAATTAGAGAAATTATTTTATCGAACTTGAGAACAACGCTAAATAAATTTTTTAGTGTTACACGAGATTTCACGATATGATTGGACGACGACAAAACTTAAGACGCAGAAAATGTTATATTTATTAATGTTTGAATAAACCTTTTTTTTTTTTAAAAAAAAAAAAAAAATACATATAAAAGAAAAATAACAATTTAACGATTCCAATAATTATAATATTTATCGCCATGCTTATCCATATTGTCTGATAAGATGTCCCATTTAGTCGTTGGTTTTTCTTCATTTAATAAAATTTTATCTCTTTCGTGCTCGGATTTTTTCCTTTCTTCGGCTTGAAGTAATCTAATTTCTCTCAAATCTTCTCTTAACCATTTTTCAACAACCTTTAAAAGTGGAGAGTCCATATTTCTACGTGATTGTGAACGTATCAAATTGGAATTTATGGTTTGCGCGTCATTTAATTGGCGTAATTGAGATATCATATCATCCAATTCCGTAAAGTTTGTATTAAAATCATGAAGTGCTACGATTGATCCGCGTTTTATATGAGTTACATGAGTAGGCCAGTCTCCAAGTCCTAAGTACAAATTAAAAGAATTTAATTAATCGGGACTTGACAATTTGGGACGTGTGTAAAAATTTCTTACCATCGAAAATATGAGTTGCGTAAACCTATTTTATTTATGAAGTAAAGGTTAATTCTATCGTTGAAGTTAAAAGATAAAATATTCTTAATTAACTTACGATAGTAGCATTTCTCCTTTCTGTTTCTTTTTTCAAAAATTCCAACAGATCAGAACGTACCAAAACATCCAAATCAACGGTAACTTCATCCATAAGCAATAAAATCCAAGGTTCAATTAATCCTAAAACGAGTTGTACCCTACGTCTTTGACCATCGGATACTTGATGCATTCGCCAATTTGGATTAATGTCCATAATTTGAATTAATTCATTCACTCTCTCAGGATACTTATCACCATTCATGTTGGATAGGAGGGTGGAGACTTGAACATCACCCCTGACAATGGGATTGTTCGCCCATTCGGTACCAAGGTAAGTAATTCCCTATTTATCGAAAAATAATTAATTCAAAAGCGTTCGAAAAGTGAGAAAAATGAACATTATACGTACGGGTGGAGGATTTTTAAATGAATCCCTTCCAAAAATCAACACCTTATCTCGAACCATTCTCTTCCCTGCCAGGATCGTCAATAAAGTGGATTTCCCAGCTCCATTGGCGCCTAAAATATTAAGGATAATAAATAATAAAGCTAATAAATTAGGTTGCAAAATGAATTTTCTTCATTATTATTACCAACTAATAAACAGCGAGTTCCCTTGTGCAATTTCAAATTCACGTCTTTCAAAATTGGTGGTCCACCGTAGTTGAAAGAAAGGTTTTGAACTTCAATCGCCAATTCTTCGTTATTAGACATGATTGGAAAATGTAAAAGACCTGGTAAGAATTTTTGAAAGGATATAAAGTTCTTTATATAATAAAAATTATAGTAACTGTGAAGGTACTCGCGTAAATAAAGTAGTTTGTGTGACCGTCTCTAACGACCAAAAATAAGCACCTCCCTGTTGAATTACTTTTTATACATAGTTCATAATAACCACCATTTGAACGTTTAATGAGACGGTGCTTAATTTGAGAGCGTACGATTAATTTTTTGATGATCAAACTGATCAACAGTTGTACAGTGATTTGTTAAATGAAAACAGTTATGACTCATAATTGATTATGCATATTTTTACAATAAATAAGTTTTTTCCGATGACAAATCGAAATACTTTAATAATATGGTACTGTAAATTTTTTGAGGACGAAAATTTTGAATAATATATACACCAATTAAATTATTTTTATGTTCTATGTAGAAACAGTCTTGAAAATATTGAATCCAGAAGCAGCTGTGCTAATCATGCATCCGGGAATCTGTGGATGCCAATGTATCTCTTTGATGTCATTTTGACCCTATATCGACGATAACAATAACTTTAAATAATGTTGCAAGTAACAAATCATAGTGCATTTTTATAATAAGTTACCTGATGTATAAATAGTAACTGCGGGGGAACCTCTACGCCATTCTTTCCGATAATCTTTTCAGAGTTTTCTTCAGGATCATGTTCAACTGAAAGATCCCATATGGAAATTTGATCATCTGCTCCGGATGCACCAAGAACTGATTCTTCAATGGGATGCCATTCGATTGAGGTGATTGGCGCAGAATGCCATTTGAAGTTAGCAACGGGAGAAGGTTTCGTTCCTTTACTATTTTATTGAACAAATAGAGAAGGTCGGTTGATATTGAATCAATGATGACAATGGTAACAACGAATAATGAATGATACAGACTTTACAAAAGTACGCAAATCCCATATACTTATCACGCCATCATCTGAACCTGAAGCAAGCAGATAATCGACTTTCCTAAAGAATTCGATAAATGAGTTATTCTTTTGCAGACTAAGTAAAAATGATTAATATATTAAAAATATATACAAACCGATTCCAGGTAATAACATTTACGTCCGAATCATGAGCCTTGATACATAAAGCGTCTTTCTTTTTACTTCGAGTATCCCATATACGTATTGTTTGATCGGCCGAGGCACTAGCGAATACATTTTTTTCTGTGGGGGACCATTGTAAGTCCTCTACCGAAGACGTATGACCTACAAACGGTATTCGGTCCGCTGTAAAATTGGATTGCGCTTTTGTCGTGAGATAAATATGTGTATGCATATCTCCTGTTATCAGCCTATCGGTGAAATTTAAGTGAAAATAAAAATATATATATATATATATATATATAAAAGATATAGATATTTAAGATATAGATATTTGAGATAAGATATTAAAACATCGCACCTTCCGGGGACAGTTCCTGACCAATCCATCGCGAATCCCTCAGTACTATGACTTTCGACCGTATATATCGGCTTTAATGATTTTTGTGGAATTTGGTAACCCGTAGTGTCCAACGATTTTATAACTGGATTCAAATCCCAAATATGCACTTTCCCCGTTTCCGCCCATGAAGCAGCTATTTGAAGGTCCTTTTGTGGCGTGACTCTGACGCGATTGACGCCTCCATAATGCTTTAAACTTTTGTGTTCTAAGATCGGATTCTCATCCAATGCCTCATCATCTGAGCCATCAGAGTCTTTATCTAGTGTTAAAAAGACCAAATTCAATTAATATATAGTATTGGCTCTATGTTACACAAAACAAGTACTCACCATCATTTTGCGTTTTATGTAGTTGGGACATTTTCATTATCATCAATTGATTGTTTTTTGGTTTATCCGCTTGGGTTCCAGAGACAATATATGCTGTGGCTGGGTACTAAAATTTTGTATGTATAATAAATTATTAAATTGTCGCACTTGATATGAAAAGATTTGATAAAAATCAAAAAAGTAAAGTCAAACCATCTTCCTGTCCTCTCCTAAATTATCCCACAAAACATCAAAGCTGAGACATGGCCATTCAACGTGTATAGGATGTAACATTTCGTAAGCTGACAGATCCGCCTCAAGAACCTCATCCTTTTGTAATTCTTGCCCGGGAAGATATACTTGATGTTCTTCACTTTCTTCAATTTCCATTGCTTTATATTAATAAATAAATGTATAAAACTTAATTAATTACGAATGGAACATTATAGCTTTAAATATTTTTATATTACAATTTTTTCGTTTCTTAATTTTTATTTTTTTTTTGAAAAGTAGAATTTGTACAATTCCCTTAATTGATCTAACCCCATACCATCATCATCATCAATTTCGTCTTCATCATTTTCATCCTCTTCAGCCACTTCTTCCTCGGACTCTGTTTCATATTCGTCTTCCCAGGGGTCTTCAAATTCTCCCATACCCTCCGCTGTTTCATTAACTGAACCAAATTTATTTTCTCCGAGTTTACCAAAAGGAGCCTTCGAAGCCACTTGCACTGACGTATCTTCTATTGTACGTTTTGACATTTTTTATTTTTAATTTTTTTAAAAAGATTTTTAAAGGTGATGATCAGATCAATAAAGTATTTATCGAAAAAATTTTATTTGATCTTCGTTTGTGATTGGTTAACCCTTTAATTTATAAATCATATTTTATTTTATTTTTTTTTTCTTTGATAGCAAACATGCCAATTGACGCTGCAACCTCGGCTTTGAATCTTTCGTTCCCTCCGACTACAACAGCGGGTTTTGTCGTTCCCCAAAGTCGCTCTTTTACGGTTTCGGTAAACCCGGTAGTACTGTTTTCAATTCTCGATCATTATCTTCGTAGACAAGAAAATCAACACCGAGTAATCGGTACCTTGTTAGGTGTTCGAAGTGAGGATGGGAGTGAGGTTGAAGTTCGAAATTGTTTTCCAGTTCCTCATGATGAAACACAGAATCAGGTTTGTAATTTTATTTATTTATTTTTTTTTTGAGCATATATTATTCATTAGAAAATGGAAATAATTTTTTTTTTTCCTGATCTTCACCAATTCAGAACCAGGTTTGCCATTTATAAGCGAGATTATGTATTGAAGAAAATGAGAGATTTATATTAAGCAAATAAAAAATAAAAAATAAAATTAGGTTGCTGTAGATATGGAATATCACCACAACATGTTTGAGCTTCACAAAAAGGTTAATGCAAAAGAAATAATTGTCGGATGGTATGCTACAGGATCAAATCTTAATCAATGGAACGCCCTCATCCAAGATTTTTATTCAAAAGAGGTTATGCCACCGTTTCAAGCTATCCATTTAACAATGGATACGGATCTCAAGAACGAAGAAAAACTTTTAGGTGTCAAAACATACGTTGGGTAAATATGAAACAAAGATTTACTTTGATTATGAAAGTAATTCATTAATCATAGAAATGAATTTGAATAGTGCACCAATTGGGATTTCTGCAAAGCCAGAAAATTGTCTATTTTTGCCTGTCCCATGTGATGTCAAATATTTCGATGCCGAACGAAGTGGACGTAAGCAAAAAAAAAAAAATTTAATGCTAGTTTTAAAGTATCTTCGCGTTAAATGAAAAACTTTTGCTTTTATTTAGTTGATCTTCTTGCGTCTGCAAAAGACGAATTAAGTCGATCTACATCTCTAATATCTGATATGGACAATCTTGAAAAAACCATAGTCGCTGTTCAAAAGATGCTGGAAAGGATCTCGGATTATGTTAACAAAGTTTTGGTAATTATGACGATGCTAAACAAACCAGGATTATCAGGACTTATGTAACATTTAAATTTTCTATTAGGATGGGAGCATACCTTCCAATAATACGATTGGCCGATTCTTAATGGATACGATTTCAGTTGTACCCAAAATTGATAAAGCGGAATTCGAAAAGATGTTTAACAGTCATTTACAAGTAAGTTATTTTCATGGTACAAGGAGAAAAAAACCTAATTATATTAATTTTAATATTTTTATTTTATTGTAGGATTTATTAATGGTCGTTTATCTGGCAAACATGACACGTACACAGCTCGCTATAGCGGAAAGATTACAATTACTTGTATAATTTATTAAGTGGGAATATTTTCGCAAAAAAAAAATATATATATATATATATATAATTTTCATACTTGGCTTCAGAGTGAAGAGGTTCAAACAAATCAAAAACGATAGAAGTCACATGAATCTGGATCCTAAAGCATCGTTACCTTTAGAATTAATATAAAGTAATTATTCCTAATATTATTTACATTATTAGTAAAGGTAATTTGATATCCTTGTAAATAATTGTATGATTATGCCATATTATTATAATTTAAAATCAATAAAATATTCACAAGGACCTCAGACGAGGCGCAGAAAAGGAACTCGTCAGGATAATATATTAGTTATGTAATACTGCGCCAAACGTTTTAAAAAATCATTGTTTATAATGACCACTTAGAATGTAAAGTACCCGGGGACTATTTACTGCAAAATTTTTCTTCAAAATAAAGTATAAATTTTATTGCAAATGGTTATTATAAATACAATAAATCTTCGCCATAAAAAATGTCACTACCACGTGATCATAGTAAAAACATTTGTCAAGCCGCGTAACACCCTTCCTTCTTTCATTTTTTGCGTATGTGAAATCATATTCATCACAAAATTCTTCATCACGGGAGAGCCACACTTAATTTCATGACGCCACACTTAATGCAATAATGCGGGCCAAATGTCACGTGGTAGTGACTTTTATTTATGGCGATGAAAGAATTGGATCATTATTTGTAAATAGACACCGCTTTTGTCTTTGTTTAAAGCTTAGTTCAGAGGCCAGAGTGAGGCAGTAATAGAAGGATTTTCGTTTAATATAGTTTTATTAATTAACCGCTATTATAAAATATCGCTTTCGTCTCTTAACATCCAATAATCGGTGCAGTCGTAAAAAATCTTAAAGTAAAACCTAAAAAAAAATTACCTAGAACGATAAAACTAAATTTATATCAAAAAAAAAAAACCACAATCGTTGCCGAAATAAAAAATAGAGAGGTGAAGTTAATATCCTAACGGATTTGTTTTAAAAGAAAAAAAAACTCGCTTAAAAAAGTAATTTAATTTTATATTTATCAAAAAAAAAGGAACTTTTCCCAATCCGTAGAATCTCAATATCGCTAAATATAAGCGCTTACACCAATTGATGACTCAGTATAAACTTTAAAAATTATCCTGTTGAAATGGCTGAATAGTCAAGGAACCTTTTTTTAGCAAACGAGACGAGTAGCGGTATCATATATATGAAATACACACATAAATTGAACATATATATTATGATTTGCTTTTGAAAGGTTACCTACTAAAATAACTCTGAATTCTTTTCATTTTATTCCTAATCCTATCTCTTTCATGTAATAACATGCTTTTTTCTTGCTAAATGATTTTCATATGTTTGTATATCTAATTCATTAAAAGCATCCTTTTCTGCTGGAGAATCAATGTCAGAGCCGCAACCATCTGAATAAGCAGTACACCAGATAATTGTATCTTTGCAATCCGCTATATTTATATTACACCGTTTTGACATTAATCAATACTCGTTAACAAATTAAGGTTCTACAAGTTTCATAATATCTGGAGTACAAAGTTGCTGAATGTAAACATCAATAGTTCCATTAACCAAATAGCAATACTTTTTTTATATTGATCAAAATTTTCAATTCACCATTGGTTGATTTATTATAAAAAAAAATTGAATCAAATGAAGAAATTTTTTTAATAGTATAACACCTCACTAACAACTGGCTAGGTCAAATGTCCAACCACAACTTCCCCGAGGGATTCTATTTTTGCAAATTTCATGGGTGATTAAAATCAGACATGTTAATGCTAGAAATGTAATGAATGTTCAGTACAATGGATTTGAATATATTGAGTGAGATGATAAAAAAAAAAATTCTGTTGTAAATATATATATAAATAAATGAAAGTATCTTTTCCGAGCGACTGGAATACTGTGGCTTGCCATTTCTTAAATGTTAAAATGAGAAAATAGTGATTTTCTTAAACGTACGTTGAATGAAAAAAAAAAAGAATTGGATACCAAAATGGTTTTAAAGGTTTGTGTTCTCCCCGGTATCTTGTAATTTTCCGAGGGTTATATATACAGTATAAAAGGTTTCTGCTTTTTCGAAAGGGGAAAAAAGATTATTTCTCTATGAAGTAAACATTTTTATACATCAAGTACCTTCTAATCGTGGCGTTCCATATTGACGATGATGGCGTTACTTATGCGACGTCTCTTTTGATCAAGGATGTTCAAACTGTAAAGCATGAGCCACCTTTAACAACTGTATGTGGGATGTACCTTTGATTGTAACTTTAACCTTATGGTGAAAATAAACAGGGAATATTTCAGTTTCGTCGCATACCGAAAACAACCATAATAACTACGAATGGAATTTAAGACTTATTCCGACCCCTAAAATTACATATATGCAAGAAACACCTAACTCAGATCATGTATTTCCAACTGATCTAACTGCAAAGTATTGCAGTGAAGGTAAACACCCAGACGTACCAGGTATTCAAATTAATACTACAGAATATGTAGCCGAATGTAGGTAATGAAATTGGAGCATACGCTAATTCTCTTCAGTTCTGTTTAGGAAGCTCGTTCAATCCTAAAGGTTATGGTGTTGCTACATATCACATGATTGATTCGGCAAATAAGCTATTCAATTTTTGGGAGAGGCAACATCGATGGTTTCATGATGCCCTTAGTGAACTAAGTGATAAAATGACTCCCGATAATCTGAAAGAATTAATCTCACCGCTGCCGCTACCGCCTAAAATAAACTAACTCAAATAGATTTTTATTCCTTGAGTCGTTACTATAGTTCTATTTGCTCTTCCTATGGCTGGATCATTTTTATTAACTGCCAGCGCAGCAATAGGTAGAATCGTGGCAACTATCTCCAAAATTGGTGCAGAAATTGTGCTGCAGAAGATGTAATAGTAACAACAACTGATGAAACGGTCAGTGAGTAGCAGTAGCTTATAGAGTTAGAGAGCTCACAAATTGGCACCTCCAAATAAAAATATATATCAGGCCAGTTCTCGTAAAAGTTCAAGCAAGACATTTTGGCAAATCTTTATCGAGTTGAATAAGACAGAAACTAAGCCCCTTCCAATGGAAAAGAGGGATACAGTGCCAGTGGATAGTTTGATTTTTTACGGTGAAGTCGTGATCCGTGACTGCGCCTTTATTAGTCACATGATAAAAATGATTAACAAAGTTGACAAAGTAGACAAATTAGACCAAGTTGCTAAAGTGGTCATCGTTGATTAGATAGATTAGTTATAATTAGCATAATTTTTATACTTGTTAATTATATTATAGTTAGTAGAGTAGTTGTATTTATCTTATTTATTTATTTTATCTTTTATATTATATTTGTTATCGTATATTTTATAGTATTTTATTTTGTATAAATATCTTGTATTTTTCCTTGAATTAAAGAGTAAATCAAGTTAAGGTTTTAGGATAAAACCAAGAATTCAATAAAGGAATCTTTAAATTCATTTACTATTGCCTTTTGTCATGTCTTCATATAGACGTGATTGTGATATTATCTTATATTTAATTCGACAAAGTGAATTAAAAGTTTATTGTTTAAATTTACAGATACTAAGCTAACAATGGCTAATGCAGTAAATGCATACTTTCTTCCAACTTTAATGGATAATATTCATCAATTTTTACCAGTAATGATCACACCTACCAGATATTCCATCACATTTATATCCAATTTCATTTTGAAAATACATTTCACAATAAGTTTTTTGTGGCAAAAAAGTCAATATTAGCTAGTTTTACTGTTAATTAAGGTATAATAATAATCAAATACTTGCCAATATTGATAACATACTGCATATAATTTTAAATAAAGTATATATAATACTATAAGAAGTTTTAATGTTAAACTATGTGACCTAAAATCTTTATTTTACGTATAATCTTATGATTCTAATCATATTTATTATTTATTAATCAAAAATGATACTAATAAATATCTGTAGATAGCAAAATAAATAAACTTAGATATTTCTAATATATATTCAAAAGATAATAGAAATATTAATCATAATTCCAATTTGATATTAAACAATTCAAATGTAAATCATAGATTAAACGTAAATGTAATTTTAATAATATTAATTAATTCTTCTGCATTATTATTATCATTAATATTAGTTTTTTCATAAATGTTAAGATTTTAATATAATTTGTAAGCTATTATTTATTTATATGTATTAACTTCTTATATACTATTATAATTATACTAACTATAATATTTAATTAAATTTATTTTAAAACTTGATATTTCTCTCTTTATTTTACATATAGAATTCTGAACAGATCAGTCTATGTTAGATCAATCAAGTTATCTGAACTAAGAAGATCAGATCAAATTAAATAAAATCTGATCTGATTTAAATTTTCATTTGACCTGGTATAATCTGATTTAACCTAATTTAATCTAACCTGATCAAATTATTTAAAAAAAATAATATATTTATTATATTTGATTTAATTTAAAACTCTAATTTATTTGTTATTTTTTTTTATTTTTTCCTATAAAAAAATTTATATAAAATTATATAAAAAATTTTAATTTGATGATTAATTACAGTTAATATTACTGAAAATCAATTTTTCAATTTTTTTTGAACTGATATTTTTTTTTTTCTTTTTTTTAACAAAAAAAAACACATTTATTTTATTTAACATAATCTTTAAAAAAACAACCTTATTTTTTAAACTTAAATACTTGAATTTGTAAAAACTCTTACTAAATATAATTTTTTTTATTTTTGTAGATTTTAATTTTTATATATATTTAATATCTTTTTTTATAAACTTTAATATAGAGATTTTATGACAAATTTTAAGTACTTAATCAAAGCCAATTGTCTTTTATCTTTAAGTAAAAGTTGTTTAACAGATTCAATACTATTTATGTTTAATTTTTTATCTCAATTATATTAATATTCATGTAAAAATAATTTTTTTTAACTTTACTAAATAAGTCATATTTTTAATTTTATAAGAAAATTGAAGCACTTTAGTTAAAGTTAATTGCTTTTTATTTCTAAGTAAAAGTTATTTAGCAGGTTTGAAACTACAAATT